AGAAACGTTTTCGAGCGTTGTTCACGTAGCCATTTCTTAAGTGTGGTTTGTGGTGTTAATACGATGTTCTATTTTACATGACTGGGAATTAATGCGATGTAATTTGGCTTAAGTTGCATCACTTTACTTAGGTTTAAATGGTGTCATGTTCAGATGCCTATTTTCTATGGATATTTTTCCTTAGAGTATGATTAAAAAGACAGGAAAATTGTGTTATATTTAGATTGTTTCTAGAATATCTTCTATCCATGGCGTGATCGTTCAGTACTTCTAAAAACTTGTAAAATATTTGTTACTCAAAATATTGTAGTATTATGGTAACATTAACCTAACCAGGTTACAGCAGAATACCCTCAGTCACGGCCACTAGTGATCACTATGGAGGCGACACCTACACTCAGATCCCTGAACCATTTAATTGTTTTACGATCGCCTTGTTCTTCTTGTTGTTATGCCAAACACTGAATAAATAGAGGCGCGAGCCTTTGACTCGTCGCCATTTACCACTCATGCGATCTGTTGTTCACATGATCTTGGCTCTCCCAAAACCCTCAATACTACATTGGTGGCAGCGGTAAAGGACGGAGGAAGGAAAAAGGGTTAGAATAGTCTCCAGAAGCCTACTAGAGCACGCTGTGAGAGTTAGGGAACCGAAGCAGGCTATCTATAGGCCGCCGAGGTAGCCGAAGCAGGCCGACTATAGGCCGCCTAGGCAGTTTTAGAGGTTAGGATAGTCAGGGAATTCACCGAAGCAGGCTGACTATAGGCCGCAGAGGTTACCGAAGCAGGCTGACTATAGGCCGCAGAGGTTACCGAAGCAGGCTGACTATAGGCCGCCGAGGTTAGATAAACGCATCTAAATTAACACCGAAGCAGGCTGACTATAGGCCGCCGAGGTATTTTGAGGTTAAGGGGGAAGTCCTGAAAGTACAGTTCCGAAACGGACGGTATGTTGAGACGTGTTGCTCGACATACGCACCTACCGGACGTCGAAAACCTAAGTTTGGAGGAGAACAAGGAGAACCTAGATCCTGAATGGACGAGCAGAACGTCGCCATGGACGCAATGGCGCTCCATGCAGACACAGACACCGAACTCGAGTCCGACGCTGAGCAGGGCGCTCAAGCCGTACAACAGGAAGTCGTCAACATGGTCGACGTCGCCGACGCGCCCAACATGTTCATGGCGCAGGAGTATGGACGAGGAAGAGGAAGAGGTGGGTAGGGCTTCATCACACAGAATCCTCATGACACAGAATCCTCACGACACAGAATTTAAGGAGCCGCTGCTTCACCACCCAGAATAAGTTTGCTTCGACTTCATCACACAGAATCCTCACGACACAGAATCCTCACGACACAGAATCCTCACGACACAGAAAATCACGACACAGAATCCTCACGACACAGAAAATCACGACACAGAATCCTCACGACACAGAAAATCACCACACAGAATCCTCACGACACAGAAAATCACGACACAGAATCCTCACGACACAGAAAATTGTGGAGGGATCTTTCACCACCCAGAATGCAAGCACGTCACCACACAGAATCTTCACGACACAGAAAATCACGACACAGAATCATTTCACAGAAAATCACGACACAGAATCCTCACGACACAGAAAATTGTGGAGGGATCTTTCACCACCCAGAATGCAAGCACGTCACCACACAGAATCTTCACGACACAGAAAATCACGACACAGAATCATTTTCCTCACGACACAGAATCCTCACGACACAGAAAATCATGACACAGAATCCTCACGGCACAGAATCCTCACGACACAGAATCCTCACGACACAGAAAATCTCCTCCCAGATAATGTCTTTTCACCAAGACCGCGCGGTGGGGTGGGGGAGGGATGTACTGGGTGTGTCACCCGCTACCAGACGGTATTTTGGGCTGCCTACCCGCTGGCCGCAGGCGCTGTTGGAAAAGGCAACTTTAGGGCTCTTGAGAAGGGGTCCGGGTTGTACACGCGAGGGCCCTGATATGTTTGCATGCGTTTGTGTACCCCACCCCACATGGTGCCTCGTTCACGGAAGAGTGTCAAGCGAGCCCGCGGTTCCTCGCGACCCCGCGGGCTCTTTCGACCCTTCGGGTTCGAGCTACGTCCTTCGCGGGATACCTTTCACTTCACATTCACCTCCCGTTTCAAGCCGAAATTGTTTCTGTTTTTCCCACGGTGGTTCACGGCACGGAGTATAGATGATGTACCTCGTAAGCCTTTAGCGTTAAGATGGTACATCACGACACCTTTCACATCCCTTTCAGCAGCTATTTACCATAAAAAATGGCTTATGTTTTTCTTTTTGCCTCACTGGTCCATGGACTATGAATTGTTTTCCCGGTCACTTTTATTAACAGGAAAGCGGTATATCGCAATACCTTTCACTTTCCTTTCACCACCAGTTTCGGGCCGAAAATGTTTCTGTTTTATGGCCAAAGTTCTGGAGGTTCGCCAGAAACATCATTTCTACTCCGTGGACCACTGTGGCAAAAAAAAACAACAACATTATGGCCCGAAACTGGTGGTGAAAGAAAAGTGAAAGGTATTCCGATTGATCTTTTTATTTCTTGGGGTTCACAAGGAATATCATTGATATTCCGTGGACCACTGTGGGCAAAAACAATAACAATTTTGGCCCGAAACTGGTGGTGAAAGGGAAGTGAAAGGTATTACGATTTATCTTTTTATTTCTGGGGTTACGCGAGGAACACAATTTATACTCCGCAGGCCACTGTGGTCAAAAGCAATACAAATTTGGGCCCAAAACTGGTGGTGAAAGGGAAGTGAAAGGTTTTGCGGTATACGGCAATACTGTTGAAAGTGACCATAACACCATTCATAGTACATGATTTAACATGGCAAACAACATAAACCACTTTGGATGTCAAATTGCTGGTGAAAGGCAAGTGAAAGGTGTTCCAATTTACTTTTTAATTTCTGGTGTTTCGTTAGGAACATCATTTATAATCCGCGGACTACTGTAGGCAAAAACAATAACAATTTTGGACCGAAACTGGTGGTGAAATGAAAGTGAGAGGTATTGCGAGAAACCGTTATACTGTTTGTTTCGGGCAGAAATTGTTTCTGCTTCTTACTACGGTGGCCCACAGACCATGAACAACATTCCCGGTGATACTTAGGAATAGGAAGCACATTGATATACCTTTCACTTCCCTTTCACCAGCAAATTATCTTTTTCTTTCTAGTGGTGCACCAGGAACATCATGTATATTCCGTGGACCACTGACGCAAACAGATACATTTTTTGGCCTGAAACTAGTGGTGAAAGGGAAGTGAAAGGTATAGCGGTATACGGCAATACTGTTGAAAGTGACCAGAAACACCATTCATAGTACGTGGTTTAGCATGGCAAACAACATAGACCATTTCGGATGTCAAATTGCTGGTGAAAGGCAAGTGAAAGGTATTTCAATTAACCTTTTAAGTTTTGGGGTTTCGCCAGGAACATCATTTATACTCCGTGGACCACTGTAGCCAAAAACAAAAACAATTTTGGCCCGAAACTGGTAGCGAAAGGGAAGTGAAAGGTATTGCAATTTAAAGTTTTATTTCTGGGGTTGCGCGAGGACTATAATTTATACTTGGCGGACCGCTGTGGTCAAAAGCAATACAAATTTTAGCCAAAAACTGGCGGTGAAAGGGAAGTGAAAGGTATTGCGGTATACCGCTGTACTGTTAAAAGTGACCAGAAACACAATTCGTAGTACGTGGTTTAGCATGGCAAACGACATAGACCATTTTGGATGTCAAATTGCTGGTGAAAGGTAAGTGAAAGGTATTGCGATTTATTTCTTTTATTTCGGGGAGTTCGCCAGGAACATCATTTATACTCCGTGGACCACTGTGGCCATAAACGGAGAAAATTTTTTTGCCCGAAACTGGTAGTGAAAGGGAAGTGAAAGGTATTGTGAGAAACCGTTATACTGTTTAAAGTGACCAGAAACACAATTCATAGTACTGGTTTAGCATGGCAAACAACACAAACCATTTTAGATGTCAAATTGCTGGTAAAAGGGAAGTGAAAAAAATTCGAATTTTGTTAAATTTCTGGGGCACATCATGTTTATTCCGTGGACCACTGTGGCCAAAAACAAAAACAATTTTGGCCCAAAACTGGTGGTGAAATGAAGTGAAAGGATTTGCGATACACCGCTTTCCTGTTGAAAGTGACCAGAAACACCATGCATAGTACGTGGTTTAGCATGGCAAACAACAGGGGCGTCGACAGGTCGACTTTTCAGGGGGGGGGCAAACCGTTCGAAGTTATGAAA